TGCTGGGCTTTTTCTTTAAAAAAAGCCCTCTTTAAGACTCATAATTTGGAAAGCTTCTATTAGGATTGAAACACTGAATATTCTGGTGTGAAATCTATAAATTATTCCTCATCTTTGGCCTTAGTGAAATTCCACACTGGATAGGCAAAAGAATTCTGTGTGACTGCATAGGATCTGGGTCTAGCTTAAACTGTGCTGCAACCTGTGCAGAGCAGCTGTGTTCTTAGTCTTGCACACCTTGCTGCTCATTCAGCATGCCAAGTGACTTTGCAGTTTACATAATTGCTGAACCTGTGCAAGTCATGCGGGGAACCTCTTTGCCTCACCAGAATCCCTTTGAAGTCAGGCCTTATGGCCAAACTGCACAACTGGGTTTTTAAAGAGTTGAGTTTGGGTTGCCCACAGCCACATTGCAGCAATGGGGAGCCTGGGGGGGGGGGAAGGGCTCTTGTCCTCCTTCCAAGCCACATTCCCATACAGAAACAGTGCTGGGAGGGGAGAGTTATTTCCCTGTTGTTGATGTTCCATGTGCACAGAATACTCTGTACTGAGTAGGAAAAATGGGGAAATAACTCCTACCCCAGTGCTGTTTCTGCATGGAAAAACAGCTTGACGGGAAGGCAGGATCACTTCCTCTCCAGATATGGTTTTATATTTATTCACTAGCAGCCTAGAATTATGATTTTAAAATTTGTTTTTTATGTATTTTATATATTCAATTTTATGTGTTTTATCTATACTATAAGCCGACTTGAGGTCCATAAGGCTAATAAATGTTTTAAGTAAACAATTCTGAACCTGTTTGGGTTTTCCTTTGTTTTTAAGCCATTCCCTGAAGCTGCTGTGTGGCTGCAGGAAACCCAAGTTGGGTCCAACTCTTTAAAAACCCAAATGTGTCATTAGAAAGGTGCTTTTAAGGGTTCAGGTGCAAATGCTGTGCATTTGTTTCTGACAGCCCAAGTATTTAGTGCTGAAAGGCCCAGTAGAATCACAAGGCAGAGGACCACAGCAGGTAGCACTCTTCTGTTACTATTTAGTTCGCATTATTTGGAGGATGGGTGGGCCTTGGCTGGTTCGTGAGAACACAGATCTCTGGTGTGGCCTCACTTGGAATACTACAGGCAATTTTGGTTGCTGTGTCTTCAAAAAAGACACTGCAGAGCTAGGAAATGTACAGAAGAGGGCGACCAAGATGATTAGGGGTTGGAGCACCTTTTGTCTGAGAAAGACTAAAATGACTAGGATTTCTGAGGGCCAGCATGATAGAGGTTTATAAAATTATGCCCGGGGAAGACAGAGTGGATAGAGAGAACTTTTCCTTTCTCTCTGAGAATATTAGAATTAAAAGGTACACAATGAAGTTAATGTGCAATAGATCCAGAATGGACAAAAGGTACTTCTTTACACAACAAGTGATAGAAATGTGGAATTCACTGCTGAAATAAGTGGCTTTAAAAGGCGATTAGCCAAATTCATGGAAGACAGGACTATCAAGACCCTGACCTGGATAGCCCGGGCTAGCTCAGTCTCATCAGATCTCAGAAGCTAAGCAGGGTTGGCCTGGTCAGTATTTGGATGGGAGATCACCAGGGAAGTCCAGGGTCATGACACAGAGGCAGGCAATAGTAAACCACCTCTGAACATCGCTTGCCTTGAGAAACCTATGGGGTCGCCATAAGTTTGCTGTGACTTGACAGCACTTCCCACCACCATATCAGTGGTTACTAGCCATGGTGACTAAAGGGAACCTCCACATTCAGAGGCAACAAACTGAATATCTGTGCCAGGAGGCAACATCAGGGGAAGGACTCAGCCTCTATTCCCTGTTGTTTACCCTCCAGAATAACTGGTTGGCCACTGTATGAGACAGAATTCTTGACTAGATGAACCACTGGCCTGTCATGTTCTTATGCAGTGTAAGCACTCGATGTACGTTAATGCCATAATACAACAACCCTGTATGGTAAATCATATTGCATTGTTTACCCAGCTAGTCTATTTTTACCCTGGCCTGCCTCCAAGGAGCTGAGGGTGGCACACCCTTCCCCATTTCACCCTCTCAATAACCCTCTGAGGCAGGTTAGGCCGAGAGAGAGAATGATTAGCCCAAGATCATCCAACAAGCTTCATAACTGAGAGGGTATTTGACCCCCATATCTCAGTCTGACACTCTAACCACTACACCACACTGGCTCTCTATTATAACCTTATCATAGAGGACGCTACATCTTAGAGATTCCTGTAACTTCAACAGCCTGGTAGCCCATGGGAAATTAAAGGGATGACCTGTTCTTCTGAATTCTGTGTCTAGATTCATATTTTATTGCTCCCTTTTTCTACATGAGGCAATGTAGATGTTGAGAAGGAAATGTATGAGAAAAAGCAGTCAACATAGCTAAGCAAGGATCTGTGTAGATCCTACATCCAACAACCTCAGATTCCACTGGAATGCATCTGGATTAAACCTGCATGCAGTATGATGGCAGTTCATTTGAACTGGACCCAATCAACTCCAGTTCAGATTACTGAGCCTACATGGGTGTGGACGTAGGGTATATGCCAGGAGAACAGTGGGATTTACAGGAATCACGTGTGGCAGTTACTAGTGAAACAGCACAAGTTCACTTAACTCGTTTCTCTTCCTGAAGCATTTCTTCTGTTTAACACTGGTAGAAAACTACTGTTGAGTTGGGAAAGGGCAGGATTAAAAGCTTCCTGGAAGAACTGGAATCAAAGGAGAAAAAGAAACATGGCATGTTCAGCAGCCTTGTTCGGAACCCTGCTTGCCCCTCTGAACGGATCTTCTGGGCGGCTGTTGGCCAGGGTCCACAGGTGGCAGTAAGTAAATTTCCTCTGGTGTTTAATTGCTAGTTCAGTCTTAGATCTCCTCTAAACTTAGCCATCAAATTAGGAGGTAGCATGAGGCCAATTAAGGAAATGCTTACATTTTCTTTTTAAAAACACAAAAATGTCCCTTAGGACAGCTCAGAAAGAATCCTAGTTCATCTAAACCCTGGACTGACCCATAGGCTTGACTTTAGGTAGAGACAGAATTTTATCTAGAGGATGCCTCAGCAATCAGGAATCTTAAATGATCCCAATAGGGTTGCCAGGCCTGGGTTGGAAAATAACTTGGGACTTTGGGTGTGAATCCGGGAGAGGGCAGGGTTTGGGGAGGTGAGGAGCCTCAGCATGGTACAATGCCATAGAGCCCACCCTTCAAAGCAGCCATTTTCTCCAGGGGAGCTGATCTCTATCAGCTGGAGATCAGTTGTAAAAATGGGAGATCCCCAGGCCCCACCTGGAGGTTGGCAACCCTCGATCCCAAGCTGGTTTTGTGCAGGGTCAGGCCTACAGCACAAGATGATGTCAATGTTTGTTTACTTACTAGTTCCCTTGCAGCACAGTTCTAAGCAAAGTTATGTTCTTCTAAGACTGCAATAGCCTTTGAAGGGTGTAACTCTGCTTGGGACTGTTAATTTAAAATCCCTGGTATGAGTTGCAAAAATCTAGATCACAGAACAGTTGTTGTCTGGCGCTGTAAATCTCAGTTGTGTGGATGCTGGGTCCCTCTCCCCCTTCCTCAAAGCAGGGAATACACATTTGTGTCAAGCCCACAGGCAGAGGAAAGGCAAGCCCAAGTAGCTGCATGTCCTCCATGGAGATGTTTTTCATCTCAAGTGAATGGAGATGCTTATAGGCTTGCCAAGTCCCACCGGGGGGCGGGTAAAACCCCGCCCCAGAGGCCCGTTCCCCGCCGCCAGTGGATTGGGCCCCAGGGGAACCCCAGCCCCAAAGCACACGACGTGCACCTCACCCGGAAGTGACACGACCATGCCGGGCACACTGGAGGCTGGGCCACGGTCATCTATGGTTTTCCCTCGGATGGTCGTGGCCCCACCCCCAGCGTGCCCGTCGTAGTGATGGGGTTGCGGTGCGCGCACTCCCGCAGCAGCGCTGGAGTCCCCCGCTCCAGGCCGATCCGACTTGGGAACCCTAGCTGCTTAAAAATCCAGACCTACAAAGCCACTGCTGGATGAGCCATTCAGTGCTAGGGTAGTACAGTGGAGGCATGCATGTCAAGAGACTGGCTTGCCTAGCAGTCTCTTGTCCATTCAGAAACATTGGTTCAGGCTGAGGCCTAGTTAGGATTGCCAGCTCCGGGTTGGGAAATACCTGGAGATTTGTGGGGTGGAGCTTGAAGGAGGATTGGGGATTGAAGGGAGCTGTGTGTAATGCCATAGAGTCCACCTTCCAAAGCGGCCATTGTCTCCAGGTGAACTGATCTCTGTTGCCTGGAGATCAGTTGTAACAGAAGAAGAAGAGAAGAAGAGATTGAATTTATACCCCTTCACTCGAAGTCTCAGAGCGGCATACAAACTCCTTTCCCTTCCCCTCCCCACAACAGACACCCTGTGAGGTAGGTGGGGCTGAGAGAACTCTGACACAAACTTCTCTTTTCCAAGGACAGCTAGTGGAGGAGTGGGGAATCAAACCCGGTTCTCCCAGATTAGAGTCCGCGCACTTAACCACTACACCAAACTAGTGGGAGATCTCCAGCCACTGCCTGGAGGTTGGCAACCCTAGGCCTAGTCAGGAACCTGGAAAGCTGAGCAGCTAAAACATTAAACAAAATACATCTACTAATTACAAAGTGCACAGTAACCATAGATTAATCACATATGTAGAATGTAGATAAAACCAGAGAGGTAGTGGGTATTCAAGTACATCCATATGGCATACAGCAACAAATGTAAGTTGCACATACAGTAACTAAGACCAAAATCTTGGTAACACATATCACTAAATCAAATGCGTTTCGGCCTAGAGGGCCTTCTTCAGTGGTCTAAATAATGACAACACACACTAGAAATGTAAATATAAAATATCTGTTCCAAGCCAGGCAGCTTGTGTATGAATCCTAAACATAAAAATACAAAAATACATATGTAAGGATATTATCAAATTGTGACATACTAGCTGGCCAAAAGACAGATGTTTTTAAAAAATGTTAATAAAGAATGGTTGCTACTCACAACAGAGTAGTGTAGCTCCAAATAATAGTTATAAAGTTTTGATGTCAATCAGGCCTGCATATATTGAGGAGCCCACGCCCAGCTTTATACAACCATTCTGTAAAAAAGACAGATGGCACAGCACCAATGTATAATTAAGTTAATATTTAAGCAATATTATGCCCCCATTAAAAGCCAGAAGGGCCTAGTACAAATCATGGAAGCTTCTCTCTCTGAGAACCAAGGTCAAGCTGACTGTAGCTTCAAAGAATGAGATAGAAGATGGGAGGCTGACACAGGTGTCATTGCTTGGGCAGTATGAAAGAGGACTTCATGACCAGGTAGGGTTGCCAATCTCCAGGTGGGGCCTGGAGATCTCCAGGTATTACAATTGATCTTGAGATGTCAGAGGTCAGCCCCCCTGGAGAAAACAGCTACTTTGCAGGGCAGACTCTATGGGCCTTGTACCCTGCTGAGGTCCCTCCCCTCCCCAAACTCCACGTTCCCCAGGCTCCACCACACAAATCTTCAGGTATTTCCCAACCCAGAGCTGGCAACCCTATAAACAGGGCAGGGAGGAGGAGAAATGGAGCCTGTAGGACAGGCACAAGTTCTCCTGAAGGCAGAAAGGTTGGATTGGGGTGCAGAAACCCTTGTCTTCCTGATCCCCTTCTGTGGCCTTTGGAGACCTGATTTGGGGGGGGGGCAAGACCCAGGGACTCAGGGTGGTGCTGCCAGAAAAGGGGGCTCACACTTGCTATATACTGCGTGAAGTGGTGCCTTGAAGGAAGGTCTTCATCTTGCCATAGCAATTATCGTTAATTAGACATAATGAGCACAATGGTGATATATAATAAGAGCCACTAATTAAAAATGTTTGCTTTTCACTTTGCTGCAGATCATACCAGGGCCAGGATCATATGACCTAAAGCCTATTAAGCGATCTGAATTTGAAAACCAACCACCATTCTGGATTGGCGCAAAACGATTTGACCGGAAAGCATACCGACTCTTTTTTGGAAATGCTGTGAGTAAGAAAAGAACATGATAGAAATAGGCCTCAAACATTCCACCCCTTGGCTTTGGCCTTTAAAACTTACTCATGGTCACTTCAGATGCTACACCCATTTGTTACAGTCCCAAAATATCTTCTCCATATGACGGTGTATCCCAGCCAAAACTTCTGAAATCTGCTCTCCAAATGGTTGTCCATTGGTGCTGTCATGGAGACTCTCCATGTGACTGGACCTATCCATGTAGCAAGCTGTTTTCAAATGTTGTGACTCCTTGATGACTGCTGCTATGTAGTTGTGGTTGGCCTCCTGATGAGGGTTTGTGGGTGGCTATAGTGCATGAATGACTCTTATCCTGGTAGGTGTAAGTATTTTTCATTTAATTCTTTTCAGTCCCACTGTGTGCTAAATTCTACACTAAGGATTCACCACTATGGTTGAGAATGCACTGCATATTTCATCGTCACTTATTTAAGTAATTTATAGCCCACCTGTCTCACTGAGACTCAAGATGGATTACATAATGGAAGTCAGTATGATTAATAGGATGAGGAAATTTATAATAAATAATGCAATAGGACTAGGATTTCAGAAATCTGAAGCCATGCATATGTATTAAATATGATCACCCAAAGAGTGATACACACATGGAATTCACTCCCACAGGAGGTGGTGGCGGCTACAAGCATGGACAGCTTCAAGAGGGAATTGGATAAACGTATGGAGCAGAAGTCCATCAGTGGCTATTAGCCACAGGGTATAGATAGGAACTCTCAGGCTGGGGCAAGGGATGCTCTGTATTCTTGGTGCTGGGGGGGGGGGCAACAGTGGGAGGGCTTCTAGTGTCCTGGCCCCACTGCTGGACCTCCCCGATGGCACCTGGTATTTCTGGCCACTGTGTGATACAGAGTGTTGGACTAGATGGGCCATTGGCCTGATCCAACATTGGTGTCTCTTATGTTCTTATGTTCTCTTATGACACATTAAACAATGCAAGAAACAGTACTACAGTGAGGACAAGACAAAAATGTACAGCAACAGATAATACATTCTAGTAGTATAATTCAGAGTCCATTCTCTCTATTGAAACACCTTCTGAATCATTCTGTTATAATGCAGACTTATTCCTTCATAAAAGTCCTCTTGGACAATTCTGGTTTACATAGTTTGAGAAATACCAGGAGTGTGGGAACCTTTCTGACCTCCTCAGGCAGGCCATTCCATAGGATTTATACCCTGCCCTTCATTCAGAATCTCAGAGCCACTACAGAGGATGCACATGTGTGAGCAGTTGTTGATCATTACCAATCAAAATGAATGCTATGGGGTCCCTTCCCACAAACATTATCAATGACCGATTTCACACAAGAGCTGCGCTCGCGCCTCCCTTTGCTCCACTTCTATTGGTCAATTTCCCACTCGAAGCCGTGTGGCCACATTTTGACCCGTGGCTTCGCCCGATTTCCCCTGCGGTTTCGTGATCCTGTTTTTTGAGGTTCACGAAACTGCAGGGAAAATCGGGCGAAGCCACGAGTCAAAATGCGGCCGTGCGGCTTTGAGTGGGAAATTGACCAATAGAAGCGGGGCAAAGGGAGGCGAGACCGCGGCGGAGCTCTTGTGTGAAATCAGTCAATGTTTTTTCTAAACTACCATTCAGCTTAAAAGATTCATCCAAATTATTTATTGCATTGACACATGCATAGGATACACAAGACTTTGTCTGTAGGAACGCTGTCTTGAGAAGTGTTTAGGGGGTTAGCGTAAGGCTGTTTTATTTACATGGTCTTTAAGTTGCACGCATGGGGGGGAGGAATTGAGTGGTGCTGTTTTTAAATTTTGGCATTGTAAACCAATTATAAGGGAAAGGCAGGCTGTAACTATTTAACTTAACGTGTCTAGGCTTGTGCCCAACAGGAGACCAATATATCTTTTAGCTGCCCTCTTTATTCTTTTTCAGTAGAACAAGTGGGACTTACTACAAAGTAATCACACATAAGGTCAGGGTAAATGTGTTAAATTAAGCTCTTTGATTTCGACAGGCTCAGACATTACCTTACACTGTGTTGGACTGTAAGCTTGTGGGACAGAATCTTCTCCACACAGTTCCATAGAGTCAGTTCACAGGCTTACACTTCCTTCAGTAATGATGTGCCAAAGGGAGGCTTTCCCTTTTACCTGATGCCCTTTCTTGTATCATCTACATTCATCCTTTTCTGGGTTCCTGTGGTGAGCTGGAACAAAGCTGGATGGACTCAAGCAGTTAGGGAAAGCTTGCATGTGAAAGAGTTCACTTCCACTTAAGGAAACAGGCAAGGACTCCCAGACAGTTTTTTCCCCCTTTGATGCTGGAGGGCTCTCAAAAGAGGTCAAGAATGAAGGTTCTTTTATAACTGATGGGGAGCATTGCTGATTGTCACTGATCCTGTTGGTAGACAGGTGAACTTCCTTGCAACTGGTCTGAGATTTTGTTGTGATACTGAAGGTAATAATTCAGGATGCACTGCCGTTCAGTGACAGATTAAATAGGCAGAAAGGAAAGGCCTCACTTAGGGTCTGGGTTCCAACAATCAGAATTGACAGATGTGTGAGAATTCTTGATGTCTGAGCAGCAAAGGCCTCTGGATGATGCTCAAGAACTTCTTTTTAACTGTCAGATGCGAATGTACACAAATGCAGGATTTCTGGCAGACAGAGTATATTGGATGGCTGTCATGGGGTGACACCCTCACTGCTCTGCTAGTTATTGCTCCATCTGAGTGCGAGGGATGATGGCTTTAAAAAGGGGTGCTGTGGTTGCATGCTTCCCCCTGTGGCAGCAACATTGATAAAATTCCCAGGCCTAATGAGTGGACTGCTGAATGACTGCTTGCTTCCTGGCAAAGTCACTATGGATAGGGAGGAAAAAGAGATGTTCCCTGACAACTCAAGTTACAGGATCTCTGGTAGAATGACACACACACACACACTTGCACGCACATATACTCCTCCACCACCACCACTGTAGTGAGCACGAAGTAGTTCTGCAGTCATTCCTTTTATGTCACAAAGTGAAATCACGGCTCAGGTACAACCGGTTCTCCCTGCTTGCAAGACAAGAGTACTGAGAGTGATTACCACAAAGGGGTGTTAAAGCCACTTTCCATGTTGCCCAGAATATGGGTGTGTATGTGTGTGTGTTTTAATAGGCAGATTGGCTTACAAGCTTAAATGGATAAACTTGTTACACACACACACACACACGGTATCTAAAAATGTCAAATGTTTGCCCTAAGCATTTATGCATGAATGCAGAGCTGGTTACATGTGGTGGTAGAAAAGTGCTGAGGTCAGAGAAAAGCAAACCAATTGCACTGCCAGAAGACAGTTAAATGTTTAGGGACCATTTCGTACACAACTGAGAAATGAGGAACAATCTGTGGAGGAAAGAAACCTTGTAGCTGCCTGCTTTGAAAAATATCCATCACGGGCTTTAGCATGGATTCATAGATGTTTCCTGCAATATCATCAACCAAGAGGAGTCCTGTTGCCTGGCAACTCCAGAGACTTTGCCACCCCAGTGTTCCTTACTCAGCTTCTCTCTGTGTTGGCATAAGGAAAGCAAGCTGTGCTCAATTTTATTTTTGCCAACACAAATTGCCATCTGCTAGTATCTGTGTGTTACCCTTCCTGCTAGGGACATTCACCAGTTACATGAGAAAAGTGCATGTGTGTCTGCTTTATTTGTAGCAACAGCAGCAGAACTTACATTGGATTCAACAGAAAGATACACACATCTGGACATTCATAGGAAAGTACTTCATTGTTTGAAATCTCAAACAGACATGACAAGAAATAGTCACACACACATTGGGATTTGATAAGTCCTTTCTCAAAGGCCCTGTTGCGCAGTGGAAAAACCACAAAGACTTGAGAGGGCCACCTTTCCCATCTATTTCCCTCTCCCTTCCCACACTATTTCCTCTTTCCTGGCTATTGGTGGCCTTCATATCTTTAACGTTCCCTACTTCCTTCATTCCCATTCACCAACCTTCCTATTTTTATCTGTCCCCCCATCTTCAGCTATTTTTACTATTTTCTTCACAATGGACCCAACGCAGGTTATAGCATTCTCTTCTATTTTATTTTCACTACATCCTTGTGAATGAAGTTAGGTTGAGAGTGTGTGATGCAATGTTCCCTCTAAGCTGTGAAGTCTTGTAAGCAAAAATTCTACTTTGTGAGCTACTAGCATTAAAGTTGTGAGCGAGCGATTTGGCTACTGCATAACCTAGTTTGCTCTGGAGCCATCCTTCCTGAGCTGAGACAAAAATGTGTGAGCTGGAGGCTAAAAAAACGTGAGCAGGCTCACACTAACTCAGCTTAGAGGGAACACTGGTGACTAGCCTATGGTAATCCAGCAGTGGGGATCTGAACCTGAGTCTCATAGATCCTAGTCTGAAATTTACCAATATATCACATTGGCTTTTGTGGGGTGGCTGCTTTTGGACAGTAGCTAGGAGCTGGGTCTGGATGAGTCATGGAACTCGTGTGGTAGCAAGTCATCTGGTGGTTGCTGCTAGCCCTGGCTTTGATCAATCCTCTCTCAAAGGCCAAAGCAGCCCTGGAAAGGGACCTGCCCTCTCCCCTTGTCTTTTACTGACAGAAACCAAAGATTCAACTGGCAGTACTGTTGTTAGGGTTGCCAAGTCCCTCTGGGGGGCAGGGAAATCCCCGCCCGAGAGGCCCGTTCCCCACTGGTGGGGATTGGACTGCCGGGGGGGGACCCCACCCCCAAAGCGCACAACGTGCCCACATGAACATGTCACCCGGAGGTACGTTATCATGTCCGGGACGTTGTGGGGGGACACTCTATCATCAGAGGGAAAATTCTATGATTTTCCCTCAGATGATTGTGGCCCTGCCCCCAACATGTCCGACGTGATTACGTCACTTCCAGGTGATGTGATCGCGGCGCACGTGCAAAGTGCATGCGCCAGAAGATGTCCAGGACTCCCCCTGCTATTCCCAAGGTAGGACTTGGCAACCCTAACGGTTGTGGTTGTCTAATAACAGCCACAGAGGGCATAAGTTTCTTAAAGCTACAGATGCTGGTTCTATTGTTTGGGGGCTTTACCCCCCCCTTTAAAGATTTCAGCTTTTCCTGCAAACATGATTTTTTTTTTGTCACGTTTATAGAAAGATTTGTTTTGTGTATTTATGGTTCCAGTCTCCAGATTTATGTACCCATAGATTTGGCCACATTGAGAATTAGATATATTGACAAGCGGGGGACCCACAAGGCCCTTAAAAAGGTAAAGGTTCCTTTGCTCGAAAGCCAGTTGAGTCCGACTCTAGGGTTGTGGTGCTCATCTCCGTTTCAAAGCCGAAGAGCCAGCGCTGTCCGAAGATGTTTCTGTGGTCATGTGGCCAGCGTGACTAAACACCAAGGCGCACGGAACGCTATTACCTTCCCACCAAAGGGGTACCTATTTATCTACTTGCAATTTCTTGCTTTTGAACTGCTAGGTTGGCAGGAGCTGGAACTAGAGACGGGAGCTCACTCCGTCATGCGGCAACTCGGGTCTCTAACTGCTGAACTACTGACCTTCCACAGCCTGCAGTTCAGCATCTTAACCACTTGAGCCACCGCAGCTCAAGGCCTTTGGGGGTACCTTATTGTCCCCTCCCCCACTATATTTCCCTGAAAGCCCCTACAACCTCTCCACTTTTCTTGCTTCCTTCTCTTCTCCAGCCACCAGTCAACCAATTTTTATCTAGAAGGACTAAAGGGGCTAATCCAGATGGATTAAAATTTAAAACCAAAGGCATATTGCCATATACCAGTTGCGTGCCTTTAGTGATACTTGTCCCGACTCTATTTTTAAGGATTGTGTTTGGTGGACAGTGAGGGACACCACATAGACTCCTTAGGAATCTGGACCATATGACTTCTGGGGCCGGATGTCTTTATATAAACACACTTGTAAACCATACAAAAGTTTGGATAGGTTTTTTTGATAGATATTTAAAGCCCTTCACCTTTTCTATCTAATGCCCATCATCTGCCATTTGTGTTTAATATGTCTCCTAAAGAAAAATAGGATTTTTAGTCCTTTTAACATTTATAATTAATTGTTCCTCCTTGCAGTATACTGTAAGAGCCAAGAGGGCTCTTCTGAGTCCTACCTCAGTCATGGCGGTATCATCTGTGTATAGAAAGGCAGATATGGGTCTGTTTGCCAACCTTGGTGGAAGGAATTCTGGTTTGGTCAGTGTTTGGACCATTGAAATTAAATGGGGGGGGGGAGCAAAATACAGCCTTGCTTCACTCCCTTTTTAACAGGAATCGTGCGTAAGAGGTGACCTTGCTGATTGGTTCTTACTGCCAGAAAGCTGTTCTTGTTCAGCATATGAATAAGGATGAGTAGTGCACAATCAATTGATGTGGCCTCTAGTTCAGCCCATAATTTGTATCTGGCAGTTCTGTCAAAGACCATTTTGTAGTTGATAAAGGCTACATAGAGCACCCCACGGGGTCTGGCACTATATTCCAATGCCAGGTGGTATAGAAGTAGGCATTGCTCTGAAGTGGAGTGGCTCAGTCTAGGTACATACCACTCAGGTTGGGTGGGTGCTGTTGAGAATAAATGTCAACTGCACGGCTTTTCTCCCTCAGCAATCTGCTACCTTGGGACTTCAGGAGCCAAAGAAATAATAAAACAACAAATTTGGGATACATCCCTCCAAACTGATAGAATTTGGCCACACCTCTGTCCAGTGATAGGGAACTACCCTTTAAACTTTGTGCCAGAAAACTACCTGTATACCATATAATTCCCCAAATACCGCAGAGCCTTCACTTTGGTCTGGCTTAATCTTTTGCCCTGAGCACTTCTAGAAGGGGGATACCTATGTATTTCACATTACCAGCGCCCAGGAGTAATTTCTTAGAAAAAGAGGTGCAGGAACTCATTAGCATAACTTATTTGCATATGCCACACCCCCTGACATCACCAGAAGTGTGTCAGAAGGCAACACCCACTGCTCAGGCTCCACTGGACTGTTTTGGATTGTTAGCTATGGATCTGCCCTCACAGAGGAGGGAGAGCTTGTACCTGCTTCTTGCTCCTTGTGGCCCGACCGAGGGCTGCTGGGAGCAGGGGGTGGGGCTCGTTGCATGTGCCCACCCCCCAGGCTCCTTACTGCCGGAGCTCAGGAAATGACCCCTGCCAACTTGGCACAGCTGAAATGGTCAAGCATGTGCTACTACACTGTAAACTCTACAAGGACATGTGCGCCATAAACCTCACCCCTATTCAATCTAAGTCCTCAGGCAGATGAGACACATTTTATACATCCCTCCTCCTTGCAGACCATTTAGACGAGATTTCCATCAAAGTGGCTAAGTTCTGTGCCAAGGTTTTATTCATAAAGAAGTTGATAATCCATCAACACCTAGAAAGTATAGGAAGGTTTTTAATTTTTAAAATTTTCTTGTTAATATTTATGCTTATATGTTGCGTGTACTAGACACAGACTCTGTTGGTATAATGTTGTTTTATCTCTGGCTTGTAAATAATCAGATGAAACTTTTCTCTAACCCCTCCCCCCAATCTTCACCTATATTTATTATTTATTTACTTCATTTATATGTTGCCTTTCTCCACAATGGGGATGCAAAAGAGTTTACACAATTTTCCTCTTGGGGAGTGAAGGGCGGGTATAAATCCAATCTCTTCTTCTTCTTCTAATCCATTTTATCCTCGTGTCTACCATGTGAAGTACATTAGGCTGAGAGTGCATGACTAGTCCAAGGTCACCAAGATAGATCCAGGTGGGCAGCCATGTTGGTGTGAAGCAGTAGAGCAAAGTTTGAGTCCAGTGGCACCTTTGTTCCAAGGTCATCAAGTGAGCTTCTGTAGAAGAGAATGGATTCAAACCTGGCTCTCCCAGATTTTAGTATGAAACTTTAACCACTATACTACACTAGCTTTTGTGGGGTGGCTGCTGTTGAACTGTAGCAGGCAGCCCAACATGGGTGAGTCAGGCAAGACAGGTAGTAGCAAGTTGCCTGGTGGTTGCTGCTGGGCCTGGCCCCAGTGAGCTCTCTTTCAAAGGCCAAAACAGCTCTGGAAAGGGTCCTGCCCCTTCCTTCTACCTTTTACCAACAGAAAAATAAGGCTTGAATGCTGGTGATGCTGTTGTAGTTGCCTAGTGATGGCCATTGAGGGGATTCATTTCCTAAAGCTACCGGCACTGCTTCTATTTTTTTAAATGCCCCTAGGTTTTTTTAATTAGATTTCAGAGTTTTCCTCAAACCTGAGAATTTTTTCCCTGCTTTATACAAACATCTGTCTTGTCTGTTCACAGCTCCAGGCTCTGGCTTTAAGTATTCGCAGATTGGTGCCAAATGTCCCTTGTTTTGAACGTCTACTTTAAATATTTGAAGTGATCCTTTCACAGAGGGGAATGCATATCTGAGACCTCTGCGTCTTCCCTCTGAGGTCCAGACTCTCCAAGGGTCATGCAGAAAGCAGAAGCATTTGCTGAGGCACTGGTCAGCAGTTCTTACCTCTGAAGCTGCTTCTTCTCTACTTTTCGATTCACAGAACCCAGTTGGTGTTGGACGCTATGATAACACAAAGCATGAGAAATACCCAAAGAAGATCAGATACCGCTCACTTTACATGAATGAGGCACAGCGTTACCTTAGTAACTTGGAAAGAGACAAGTGCCTACAGTAAGTGGAGTCTAACAGTAGTTCAATGGAGGAAAGCAGCACAACAAATTCTCTTTGAACTTTTGCAATCAAAGGAGCGAAATTCTGCAGTGATACAGATACAAATCCACATGCCTTGTGCTGGACGCCAGGTTTCGTCCACAGGGATGGAATTTAGGAAATATCAGTGAACAATGACAATGAAGTTTTCAATGCTGAGAGACAGGGAGGAACAGAAAGCTGTGAAGAGCAGCCTCGTTCAGACCTTGGGGAATTTCACATTACCCAGTTTCATCCGGTTTCAAGCCGGTAATCATCTGTTTTGAAGCGAACCGGTACAGGGCTGCCATTTCACACATGGCTTGCCCCTACCGGAAATGAGCCGGATCAGAAGCCTTTTCTAGACTCTGAAATGGAAATCTACAAGGACATAATATGAAACCTTCAGGGTGGCACACTTTCCTCAGCCCTTCAACCTATTTCACAGACAAATTCACAGAGGAAGGAATAGGATGCCCCTAAGATTTTAGTTTCAGAGGTTAGCTGTGTTGGTCTGCAGCAGAACAGCTGGATTCAAGTCCAGGAGCACCTTAGAGACCAGCACGATTTTTAGGGCAGGAGCTTTGACTCTTGAAATCTAGCTGCACTAAGATTTTATCCCTTATGTTACTAATGGTGGCAAAAGCTTGCTGTGTTGCTGTTGCAGACTGTTGCCTATATGGGACTGCAATGGGAATTCAGATATTTATAGGTTTCCCTTCTTCCACAAAATAAAAGTCTAAATTGCATACAACTAGGGGGGAAAACAGATAAACAACAAAAGAGCATGGTTCGAACCTTACAGTTTGTTTCTCACAAACCGTGAAGGGTCTGCTCTGGCTTTCCTCCAAAGAGCTCTTCTCATATTAAACACCTTCCAAGTTCCAATCTGGTCAGGTAGGGGCCAGGATATCATAGGGATAGGCTTCTGTAAAAGGTACCTTCCCCCACCCCAAGTGTAGTCTCTCACAGGGTTGCTGTGAGTTAAAGTATAGCTTCTTGGAAGAAGGGTGGGATGGAAAATATGTCTGACGTACTCTTCTCACCCCTCCTCTTTTTCAGGGAGCGGATCACTCCTGTTAATAAAGGCCAGCATACCTCTGAATCATTGCTACTTCCTGAAACCAATGACAGTTAAGCAATTTGATTACTAACTACATTGCTATAGTGAATGCTCACAGAGAAATTCTGTCAACATGACTGCAGAGATCCAATAGCTAAAAGACACCTACACATTTGCAGCACAAAACTATCACAGTCCCATGTAAACTCATCCTTTTAGGATTACTCATACCATTTAATCAGTGAATTTGGTAAATGAATGTGTCTTTTTCAGAACCAACGTACTGCAATAATTATGTCACTATTAAATTGCTAGCTATTACTATCCAAAGTGTTGCCACTTTTGTTATGGAATAAAAGAAGCGTCAGAGTGCAGAATTGTTATTTGTCCTCCAGAGGCAGTGAAGAAGGCCTTTTTGGCCAAGTGCAGAACATCTAAAGGGCAACTTATACAGAATGTGCACAAACTATTTGGTTTGTTCACAGCATTTCAGGCAAGGATGTTTTGCCAGCAGCTTTGCTAGGGAAACGTGATCTTCCTGGTTCTTGGTATACAGCCCCAAGATCAGCCTGTACTCTGCTATTTGACCACTTGTGGCTGGCAGACCTGGTACAGCTCAGAAAGTCTGCTTCTATGTTCTGAGTTCCTGCTATGTGAATTGTCTGTAAGTAGGTACAATGAAGTACCACCCATCTCTAGATTAGTTTGGCTTTATGACAGAGTCATCTGGAACCTGTACCACCCTGTTTATGTAATACATTGATGTAGTGTTGTCTGTTTGAATGAGAATGACCATTGTTTACTCACCGTGAAAGGTCCTACAAGAGGACATCTTGTAGGTGATTCCCATCCATCACTTAGGGAGGCAGGATTAACTTTAACTGTTTCCTGTGGTGGGAGTCACCCTCAACTCAGTTTTGGGACTCCACAAGCAATAGAACCTCTAAACAGTAAGAAAAACTGAAAACACTGTAAGTCAACAGTAAGTAAATTTATGAGAGGAAAATACTACTCTTGTAGAATCAGAGAAAAGAAGACTATATACATAGAACAGAGGAAACTTGACGACCCGGGAGAGCCAAGATGTCCTCCAAGCCTCAGAGGAGAAGGACTCTTCACGGTGAGTAAATCATTGAGAGACAGGACAGATTGAAGTACCCGTCTCCCAAAGGCTGCATCCGCAGAGTCGAACATATTGATCTTATAGTGTCTGATGAATGTGGACAATGAAGACCACATAGCAGCCCTGCATACTTCCTCGACTGAAGCCCGATTGGCGAAGGCCACATTGGTGGATGCGCTGCGTAGGGAATGGGCAGTGATGCCATCCAGAACTCTTTGTTTTAAGCTTTTATAGGCTTCAGCAGTGCAAGACCTAATGGTAGTACTTATGGCCAAATTTGACATCTTCCTCCCTGAATGTGGAGGTGAGATGTTGACGAACAAAGCCTCTGTCTTTCTGAATGGGGCTGTCTTGAGTATGTAACACTTGAGTGCCCTTCTTACGTCCAGAGGATGCCACATTCTTGTGTTCAATGAAACGTGGAACCATCCTTTGGACGAAAGGTAGGATCTCTTCTTAGTACTACTTTTTCCTTATGGAAAATGCAAAGTTACCTCTGAATAGACAGAGCACCCAGCTTGGAGACTCTTCTCGCCGATGTGATAGCTACCAAGAATAAGGTTTTCATTCTTAGGAATTTGAGTGTGATCTCCTTCAATGGCTCGAAAGGATGTTTGGTGAGCGCCAGGAGAACTGTATTAAGTCTCCATGTTGGGAACCTGTGGGTTTGAGGATGGCCTGTGAGAGAAACGCCTCGAAGAAATCTGAGTGTGTGTGGATGCTGGGACACCAGAACACCTGGAAAACGTGGCAGGACCGAGGCTAGTGCCACCACCTGTCTCCTGAGCGTTGGTGCCTTGAGACCACTTGTCTTGCCATCCTGTAAAAATTCTAGGAGGGAGCCAAGCCCCGGACTTGCTAGACAGTGGTTTATCCCACTCTGCCTTAACCTTGCGCATATAAAAGTTGGGAAAAGGAAATGCTCTTTCAGACAGCTCATCTGGAGGGAAGAACTCATCAGTGATTTCTGATCCCTCCTGTTGCTCTTGGTCACCAGAGCCCTTGTTCCCTGTCCTTAACAGATTTTGGATCTTGAGAGCAGAGACTGTCTTAGACAGCAGGTAGTGGAGGTCCTCGACCTTAAAAAACCTAAAGGACTGCTCAGAAGCAATAGGGATCTTTTCCTCTTCCTCTTCATGAGAGGAAAATTCCCCCTCCTCTTTCTCACTAGGTGTATTTGAGGCATCTCCCCCCTCCTCCGGGTGATAGTCAGGGAACCAGGGAAGCTCTTCTGGGAAGCCTTAGTGGGCCAGCTTTTTTTTTTCTTATTTTTAGGTGGAGGGGGGGGGAGGAGGAGGAGGATCATGAGCGGGTAGAGCAGCCTCCTGACTTACAATAGCGGGCTCTTTCTTGTCTCATGGCCCTCCTAAAAAAGGGGTGTATTTGAGGCATCTCCCCCCTCCTCCGGGTGATAGTCAGGGAACCAGGGAAGCTCTTCTGGGAAGCCTTAGTGGGCCAGCTTTTCTTTTTCTTATTTTTAGGTGGAGGGGGGGAGGAGGAGGAGGATCATGAGTGGGTAGAGCAGCCTCCTGACCCTCCTAAAAAAGGAATCACTCTAGGGGACAGGGGAGCAGACCCGGAGTCAGCAACATTACCGGTCTCTGCACTGTCCTCCTCGTCCCCTTGGGCAGCATCCGCAGAAGCGTTCACTGCAAGGTCGGACCCGCTATGACACACAGTCTCGGGTCGCTCCCTGGCCGAGATTGGGCTCTGCTGGCCATTTCCCTCATTCAAAAAGGCCACCACTGTCTGCGCGGGAAGAGAGCTTTTGGTGTGCTTAACGCCTCCGTCGATCTCCGAAGACTGGGAGCCCGACGCCTCAGTGGCCTTCAGAGCCGCTCGCTCGCTTCTGTGTTTTTCCTTCTCCAGCTCTCCAGAGGAGTTAAAGCCGTCACTATTTCCCTGGAGTGCCATGGCCTTTCCAATAAGGTTGAAATAGAAGATCTCCCCCAAGATGGGTAAGGAGGAGAAGAGAAAGAAGTGTTTTTTTTTTAAGAGCAAGAGTAAGTGAATAGGAAAAGTTATAAGAGTAAATTAGTAACAGGAACAGTGAACTAAAATAGTGAGCCAAAGAGAAAGTTAGGCATGAAAGAAACTGAGTTGAGGGTGACTCCCACTACAGGAAACAGTTAAAGTTAATCCTGCCTCCCTAGGTGATTGATGGGAATCACCGACAAGATGGTCTCCACCTCAGAGGGAGAATGACCTTGCAGGATATCTGAAAAGTCAGGCCGTTTCTAACTGCATGTAATTCCAACACATTGATATGTAATAACTGCTCCGCTTTTGACCATAACCCACATACAGTAAGGCCCTGACAATGCATGCCCCATCCATCAAGTGAAGCATCTGTTGTGAGGGTAGTTGTGTGCTGCAATAGTGCAAACGGTAGGTCTTGTCTCAAGTTATCATGTGCCCACCAAACTGGGACAAAAACCACAGCTGAAGCAAGCACATAATGTATTCTAGCCATGGGGAGAGCAGCTGTAGCAATGCAGCCTTCAGTTTAGAAGCCTGGTTCTGGCTTTCTGTGTGAACCTCTGGCAAGCTCTACAAGCTGAGACTTTATGACCCTCTCCCAGGCAGAGTAGGAGTAGATCATGCTCATTGTTTGGGTTATTTTTGCACTACATTTCATGCACTTTTAAAACAATCTCTTCTGGGACGATTGCAAGAGTTGTCTGGGTAAAGACACCACTACAAGGGGGAAATGTCCATAGGGGCTAGCAGAAGCCTGGGTGACAAGTCCCAGGGTGAAAACTCACAATACAAGCAGAAAACATTTGGGGAAAAAATGACTGATCAAGAGAAGCATGGTAGAAGAATCACCAACTCCAACAGTAGACCAAGGTGGGCAGCCGTGTTGGCCTGAAGCAACAGAACAAAGTTAGAGTCCAATGGCACCTTTGTTCGATCTGTTTAAAAAAGCATTCTATCTTGCATGCTAATTTAACAAGCCACCTATATATACAACTATATGTAATTCCATTTCATCGTCTGATGAAGTGTGCATACACATGAAAGCTCACAACTTGAATAAAACTTTGTTCCAGATTATTAAACGGAGACTGCTTGACCTGGAACTTCAAGTCTAACATCCTACACAATTTAGCATATTTTCTCAGGCTCAGTTGAATCTCCCAATTCAATATAGCCAGATGGCCCACTATCTTCACAACTTAGTCCTTCGCACTGTAGAGCCTTTACACTAGCCCGACTAAAGGTGTTCCCTTCAAAAGAGCTTTCAGGTCGGTTTAAGAAAATTCCCTTTCATGAAAGATTATGTTCTTGTCCTTTAAAATCTGTGGACTCAATATATCATATTATTTTTACTGTCAATTTCACTCAGTCTTATGCAAAGAATTGTTGTCATCTTTATTTCCTCCTAATTATAATTCTAATAGGGAAAAAGTTACTCAAAATCTACTAAAGGATGCTAATCCTAATATTACAGCTATAGTGGCCAAGTTTCTTGCCGTAGTAGTCAGATAGATCTATTCTAGTAAAGGATTGATTCATATTGCTTATAATGTCTTATATATCCATGCCGTGTTATTGTACATCTATGTATACCATTAAAGGTATTTGACTTTGAAATTTATTTATTTTAAAAAAATAAAACTTTGTTGGTCTTAATGGGGCCCTTGGACTCTAACTTTGTTCAACTCCAACAGTGTTGATGAAGGAACTGAGGGAAGGCATCCTGGCCACACTAGAGCATGTGACTGTTTACACAGGAACTGTACTTGGCTCTGGCGCACAGTGCCTCCTAGAGGTTTTTAGCCAGCACAGAAAACTGAAGATGAACATATCTCACCAGTCTGAAACTGTCTCAGTCACTTTGACAGACAACCCATGCACAGGAAAAGCACCCTGTTGATCCTTCTGGATCTTTCAGAAGTTTCTGATTCCATTAGCCATAGCATTCTTTGAGCCAAACCAGCAGAAATCAAAGACCTCTCACTCTGTGAGCAGAAAATGCATCATGTCCCTCCCCCGCACCATTCCCTGAAGGACAGGGGGCACAGGTCCCGGTAGGGGAGGGTGGCAACAGGACCAACAGAGTATCAGTGGGGGAGGCAATATCCCCACTCATGAATTCTTTACAGGTCTCCACTTGTATCCTTCTGATATGCGAGTACCCTAATGAAGTAAGTCTCTGTTCAAAGCAAGTCACCTGCACCATTGTATGTACAATGCAACCTTTTCAGCACTACTTTATGCAGTCACACCAAAATAGTTTTTTTTTATTGTAACTGTACACATTCTGTCTAAAGGTATCAGTGCTGACAGTGACAACACCAGCAGCAACATTGTATTTGTATTACATTAGATATCTGAGCTAGCAGTTGTAGCAATAAGGTACAAAAACCACTTTGCAGAAACAACCTGTGCTGAGAAAAGTACAGTGTATAACAAAAAGTAAAGACGTAGTACAGATTAGATTCTTAAAAAACAACTTTCCAGGCAAACAGAATGAATTTACACACAGATAAATGGCAAGCCCCAGTATAGTTTAAATCCCATCCTATTTCTGGATTCAGAGTATACTTATTGGCATAGCCATGCTGGCCTTTTGCTGCTTCAATAATTTCCTATTCCTCACGTATATTATGAAACTGATTCTCAAAAGTCTGGTGAAATCACTATACAAGTGTAAACAGAACATTCACTCTCATGGAACAGTTGTTGGATTGCTCAAAGCCTGCATACGTACACATCATTTCTTCCTGAACCCTAGTAAAATCACTGGCTGGATATTCTAAAACACCATGGAGACTTGCTAACATGTTTCAAATCAACAATTCTCTGTAAGTTCAAATAAATATTGCAAGCAATTTTTAAAAATTGTATCTAACTAGTCTTTGGGTCAGCCTTTGGTTAAACTGGTGATAAAATTAAGGGGGAAATATCCAATAAAAGCCTGTAAAGCTGATTAATTTTCATGATGGAAAGGTTCATAGCCTCAGTCAGGTAAACTGGACTTACCACTATAGCATTATCAGTCTTGAAGCACTGACTGGGAACAGTGGCGGCTCGTCCCTCACTATTTAAAGCAGGAATAAGGTAAAGAGAAATGACAATACTCCTTCCCTTCTTGTGTTGCCTGTCTCCCAATTTAGTTTCTGTATCTTTAAAATATGGAACATTAATTTCCTTTCATCTGGCTCTGGAACACACATTTGGATAATTAAGTGGTCTGGAGATTCTCCCTGTAACCTTACATTTCGGAAGTCTGCCTAACTATTGAAAAATAAATTGGCATAAGATGGCTGGATTTCTTCCAGCTGATAAGGCACTAAAGAAACCTTTACTGGAAGGAGAACCCTATAGCAAATAATTTGAGATTGGAAATTATTACGATTCATTCAGGGTTTATGTACTGTCTTGATGCCATTATAATTAACCTGCTGCAGTTCCAGGACCTTCTGCAGGGATTTGGTTTTGTTTTTTAAGACCTGATCTGTAAGCGCAATTGCTACACCAAACTGTCTGAATAGTCAATGCGCTATTGAGGCTTCCCAGGGCTGTTGACCCTTTAGAATTTTACTTCTGTCTTCTAGTTGTCTCCAAAGGGGAGGAATATCATGGCATTTCTGAATCAACTGTAAATAATCAGCTCTTCCTCAAAGAAGGGTGAGCTTATGTAGAGTTTCACACTTTTCAGGGAGAAAAAGCCACTGTTGTTTTTCTTAAGCTGTTGATTATTTCATGATCATGCTATTATGACTGAAACCATTTTTAAGAGTTATGAGCAAGGATTGCTACAAAATAAAAAGCAGTGCCCAACCCTCTCCCCAACTGACAGACATTTACACATTAGTGCCCATGCACCACAGAGCTGGCCAGCTGGAAGAGAACAATTAAGCTGGCTGAAAACAAAGGAACTGAAAAATAAAAAGGCAGGGAAAAGTGGGACCTTTGGTGAAGGGCCTGTATTTCCAAGTAGCAGTCTTACTCCACGTTCTGTGGGAATGGGGAACACAGCACTTAGTATTATACTGTGCATCCCCTCCCCAGTTCTATTTCGTTTGCTGCCAAATAGGCATCCTTCAGCAGTGCAAAAAAGATCATAATGTGGAACAACCCTGAGTGATAGCAGCAAAATCTTTCAGTAGTAAAGGCAGGCAACGGATACTACCTGATTACTGCATATCAACTACTACACAATTCCAACACCACCACATTTTCTTCACATTACTTAAAAGGCATAAAACAGGAAGAACAGAAACAAACAAAACATTTTGCTGTTCAGTTACAAATTAATCTTCTCTGTACTCTTAAAAGTGAAACCAGTCCTGTACTTCCAACAAGCATGTTAGAAACCCGGTAATCTGGCTTTGGAACTCAAGGTATGAATCACCCAAGAATGTTTCATGTGACAAAAAGCATCAACACTAAAAAGCAGCACAGAACAAAAAATAAACCCCTAATACAGCAGCCTGTCCTGAGAGGCAGCAGACATCCTGCATGGAACTAAGCAAACATACTTTAAAAGCAGTGGTTTAATATTGGGGGGGGGGAGAGAATTAGTCTCCCCCCCCCTCGAAGTATGCAAGCAACGTTTTCCCCTGACTGCATGGACACCCTGATGGAACAAGAACTGAGGTCAGAAACAACTCACACTGGCTCAAACTAACCCCAAGCCCCTACTTCCAAGGTGTTCACACAGAAAAGCTTATTAATTGCAAATCTAATACATGCTTGCTTTTGAGTATCTGAACAGAAATCTTGACCAGGATAAGCTACCTCAGTCAAGCAGCTTCTGAAAGGCAATCTCAGTTCGGCACTTAACCTCAGATAAAAAGTAGTCTTCTAGATGTCAAAGCGCCCATAAAACTCCACCAGCATTTTCTAGTCATCAGAAATGATACTACAGTTCTACGTTATGTTCTACTTCAAGATGCTGATTTTCCATTTGCCTCCTATAGTGTATATAACCAAATGGAAGTATGGATAGACTGTAGCTATGACTAAACCTTACAGTTTATAACTCAGATACCTTAACATTATTAAAATATAATGCAGACACTGTACGATAAAATATCTCCAGGAAGGCAGGAGTATGTATTTTCTAATCTCACACCTGTATGAGTCTTTGGGACAGCAACAAAAATATTTTGTATGGGAAGAGCTGTTAGTTATTGTGAAATCTGATTTCCCTGATTGCTTGTTGAGGTTAGAGGTTTAGTGTCTTGCAGCTTTGGAGATTTTATCATACACTTCTGGGAAAGCATCACTGCACTGAAGTTCCTTCCTCAGCTTGTGGTATAAGGAACCGTCAAACATTTCCCAGAATTCCTCACGGGTCATATAGCAATCTGCATATAACATCTGAAAACTGAAGCAAACAAATAGAGTTATTGCATTTGAAGACAACATCAAATTATTGACCACTTCTAAGATCAGGCTGCTTTGCCAGCGTAACTGCCACTTGTTCTGATACTATACCGGCAGAGGAACCTTTCAGCCCAATCTTATGTATTCCAGTATCAAACTAATAAACCAATTATATACTGGGTTTTTTCACAAAACACTTCAGTCTTTGTCAGTAACAGACCAAAAAAGAATGAAGCATGGAAGTTGTTTATAAAAACAATACTTTAGTTACCTATACCTAGAATAAAATTTTAAATTGACAAACATAAAATATCAAGTTAAAATTCTTACAGCCGCTACATCATGTGGTCAAGCTAAAGGTTAATTACTAGTTTCTTCTCCTAATAACTTTAAGACAGAATCCCCTTCTCAAGACTTAAAAATTCTTACCCATGTATACTCCTTACAAATTTCTCCATTTGTCTGGTAGAAGCCCTGGCTTCAAAATGTTTTGTTTGGGGCTCGCCATAGGATCCAACATTTACATACAGTTCAGTTTCATCTCCTTTTGGGTGAACCATGCCAGGGTTATTAGGCAATATGAAGGGACATAGCCACAGGGGATAAACCTACAAGAAATTTGAGAAAAAGTCACCCTATTATCACCATCGTCATTCTGTTATCACCACTACTACTTATTCACTAACAGCTAGTAGTAGACGTACAGACAGCCATGATAATAGGCTTAGGCATGTGGTCCATATTGTCATACGTACATAATTTCATATCCAAGCAAAGTAATAAAGTTTTGTTCATCAGTCCTCCATATCCTACATTGGGCTAGATAAATACTGTCAAAGTTCAGACAAAGGGGAGGTTAATAGTTCAAATTTGATTTAGTTAGGATTTTTTGCTTCTCAGAAACCCCCCATAGAAATTAATTTGGGGAAAGGAACTTCAGCAAGTTTGCTTGTCATAAAGACATTGAAGCCAATATATTTATCACCCCAGTACCCTCTCTCTTCCCAAGCTTATTTGCATCATCACAACTTCCAGTTAACCAACAAGGAACTGCTGCTACTCCAAATTTTTCAGTTTAAACTCTAAAAATTTGCAATGCTCTATATAGAGCATGATCTGACTCAGTATGTTCCTCTGAACAAAATTTAAAAAGTGCCCTATGTCCCAACAGCAACAAACACTTGAACCAAAATATTTTATTAGGGGGGAAACGCCCAAGTGTGTTTTAATTGCTATGTTGAGACAATCTGAAAACTTAAAGTTATTCGAATAATCCTGGTTAAAAAATTGAAAGTCTATGTAATATACATAACTTTTCTATCATTTAATAAAAAAACTGGAAGGCAACAAATCGTTGACACACGAATTTTACCACACCTAAAGAATTGTGCGTCATACTGCTGTTTACATGGTTGTCCACTTATATATTTCAATAGAATTTAAATGCCTTCCATAGAAGTGACTGAAGCACTTCATTTTCATGGTCATTCTCTCTAGCATCACTTTAGTGCTTCTTAGTTTCATATCAGATTGGTGACTACAACATTCTCTGGTACAATGTGAGAGGAGACATTAAAAAATTAGCTTTGGTCTTGATTTGACTGGTGCAACTGATTAGATGAATTCATAATTTGTTTTTTATTTGGATTATTGTATGTATTTATACTTTTATTTTCCACACCTTGCAAATAAATAAACACACATGTATTCACACAATTCCTAGGAGTAATCACCTGAAAAACATTACAACTTTACAACTGTCAAGGTTACCTAATACTGTATTGTAATGGCATCTACTTGTTTTATGAATGAATGCATGTGGAAAACTTTTCTACTCCACATCTTTGCTGATACTTCCAAAGCTCATCTAACAATCAACTAGATCACACTTCAAACTAAGCTACTCACAAATTCAGTACTACAGTACTGAAAGGATCAAGTGTTCTGCACCACTGACATTATGGAGAAGTTTTTCTAAAGTACCATGAAATTACTACCTTGCTCATTTAGTAAACAAGAAGACAAGCCCATATTTGGAGAAGCTCCAGGTAACAGGCAATGATCGTTATGCATAATAAAATACTGGACACTATCTTTACAGATGCACCAATCTGGTTAGCATTTCATTTGTGAGTACTATACATTTCTTAAGAGTATTGCTGTAACTTGCTCACTCGGGGAGACTCCTTGTGCTTCTTCCTCAACTTGTAGCCCTATTCACATACAACCAACATGTACGTGTGTACACCTGCTTGTAAGAGAGCCAATGTGGGTTCACCTTCTGAATGAAACCAGGGACCAATACCTGGATAAATGTGCAGTTTCAATCACATGCTCAGCTGTACATGTGTTGAATGTAACATGAGAATTATTCAACCTATAAAGAAAAATCGAGTGTATGCTATATGCAGACTGTATGTGCATTAACTGTAACACATGAACAGGGGTTGTTTACCTCTCTTGCTGCCAATGTTCCCATTTCACTCTCTGTGTGTTATGCAGAGCTTTATGGATGACACTTCCATACTAGACCCGTTTCAGTCCGTCTTCCAGCCAGGCCATGGGACGGAGATGGCACTGATCGCCCTCACAGATGACCTCCGGAGGCATCTGGATCGAGGCGGTATGGCGGTGCTGTTGGACCTGTTGGCGGCGTTTGACGTGGTCGACCATCAGTTACTGATCCACCACCTCGCCGACACTGGGATTCAGGGGCCTGCCTTGCAATGGCTTGTCTCCTTCCTCCAAGGTCGGGGACAGAGGGTGGCGTTAGGGGAACAGACAGCCCAGAGCTACCCGCTGGTCTGCGGGGTCCCTCAAGGGGTGGTGTTGTCCCCAATGTTATTTAACATCTACACGCGCCCCCTTCCTTAGATTGCCCGGAGGCATAGGCTTGGGTGTCACCAATACGCGGATGTCACCCAGCTATATCAGTTGCTGGGCGGTCAGTCTGACTACCCCAGGTGACCTGGACTGGACGCTTCAAGACGTGGCGGGCTGACTTCGGCTGAGCCGACTGAAATTGAATCCAATGAAGATGGAGGTCTTGTGCCTGAGTCGGAACAGGTCAGGGGTAGGGATCCCACTACCGACCGGTGGGGTGCCATTGGTGCCAGCGCTGAGGGTTAGGAGCTTGGGAGTGCTCCTGGATGCCACCTTAACAATGGAGGCCCAGGTAGCAGCCACTGCCAAGGCAGCCTTTTACCACCTACGGCTGATTAAGCAGTTGTTTCCCTTCCTCGAACGCAATGATCTGGCAATGGTGATTCATGCCATGGTCACCTTGAGATTAGACTACTGCAATGCTCTCTACATGGGGCTGCCCTTGTCTCAAATCGGGAAGCTGTAGCTAGTGCTAAATGCAGCAGCCAGGCTGCTGATGGGTCTCTCTATACGAGATCACATCCAGCCTGTGCTGAAGGCATTGCACTGGCTGCCAATAGCATACAGGATTCGTTTCAAGGTGCTGGTTTTGACCTTTAAAGCCCTATATGGCTGGGGGCCTGTCTACGTGAGGGACTGCCTTTCCCCGTATGTTTCCCAGAGAGCACTGAGGTCAGGGTCACAAAATCGTCTGACTCTCCCTGGTCCGAAAGACGTCAGATTGGTGACCACTAGAGCCAGGGCTTTCTCAGTGGCGGTTCCACTCTGGTGGAATGAGCTCCCCGAAGACATTAGGGCCCTGCGGGACCTTTCACAGTTCCGCAGGGCCTGTAAAACGGAGCTCTTCCACCAGGCTTTCGATTAGGAGCCACCACTGCTAAATGAGTCATCAGAACTGAACATGCTATGGCCCTTATGACACAACACTGGATATTGTCTTCAGACCACTTTATAGGTTGCAACACTGGTTATTGCCTTCTCTTATTGTAAGACATCATAGGAACCGCCATCTGTATGCACAGGCACTTTATGTAATTGTTGCTTATGTGAATTTTATTGCACCTTATTGTTTTATTGTACTTTAATCTGTCTATACGCCGCCTTGAGCCAGTTCGCCCAGCAAGGTGGAATATAAATTGAAAGTAATAAATAATAAATAAATGACGCAGCCAGTACTGCTGTTTATCTCAGCCAAACAAGAGACTCTGCATGTGTATGCTCTTTGAAGCCTGAAGTAAAGGAACACATGCAGCCACTGCAGAACTCTATTCCATTTCTTTGATTAGAAACAGCAGCAGCAGTACACAGAAACAGGAACAGTTAAGATGCAAAGGACCTGAGATACACCCTCCATTAGTATACACTACATTCCAATTTAAAATTAAGGTTAGCCAACAAACACTTAACAGCCATGTCAATGGCTTGTTGCTTCCTAGATGGTAGGTACTTCCATCCCTTCTCAGTCTTGTGGCTGGCAGAACACTCTGTTTAACAGGTGCTTAGGCTCAGATTTAGGATATATGCTTACTTTGATGTCACTGTGGTAAGTTTCAATACATTTTTCAAGACTTTTTATGGGGATCATCATGTCTTGAACCACATGATGCTGTTCATAAAGCTTTCGAATTGCTTCTCCTTGAGTCAGTTTTAAGAGAGAGATTTTAGGAGGTACCATCCAGCCAAATAAGTAGCGAAAAACAGGATTATTTCCAAAAGGAAGGATTTCCTATAAAAAGAAAAACGAACTAGTGAGTAAACCGTGCATTATATAACTAGGACTTCAAAAATCAGTGAACTGCACTCTGCCTTTTAAAAAAGATCCTTCTCCACTAATATTAATGTTATGCAGTTCATTGAAATATAGTAAGTTGAAGTTACAGTAAATGGGGGCTTGGCTAATGTGCAACAATTACATGTGCTCCAGGCATTCTGCTTCCTCTAAGGTCCACTGTGCACTTGCTAGCAGAACTCTTGCCTACTAGGCTGATATTAGGCCTAGTGATCTCCCCAGTTGGCTCACAGTAATCCTCCCAGATGGTTCATAGAGATGGAAAGCAGCTTCCATTTTCCAGGGGAACTTCCCAGAACACCTTATCAACAGACCAATAAATAAAACTTGTAGTGGCATTCTGGGAAAGTGGGGGGGCAATCACCTTTGGGGCCAGTCAAGGAAGGATGAGCTGGCAGCAGGTGGCTCAGGCATGCTAGCTTTCCGCACGCCAGCTGCACCCACACTAGTCTGCTTGCATTCTACCCAGACCAGCAGAGGTGGGCCCAGGCAAGGGGTAGGCACTGCACCAGCAGCACCTGCCTGCCTTCTCAGCTCCAAGCCAGCCTGGCAGCAGTCTTCACTGGTCACCTTCTGCGCCAGGCAGCTGGGCTTAGGCGAGGAAGCCTCTGACCCATCTTCATTTTTTCTGGTGGTGATAAAGGCAAAATAACCTGCCCTGGGATGCTGATGGACATAAAGCCCCCTCCTTTACAACAACACCTCTTTTGCCACATCCTCCGTGCTCTCATCTGAGTACCCAGGCAGCTATATGGAGATGAGCAAGCTGGCTGTATAAAAACAGAGAACAAACCTCACCACCAGCAATGCAGCCCCACCCCCACAAGAGGATGCTGGGCACAGTGTTATGTGTGTGTGGGGGGTTGCTCTCCTTTCTCCCCAGCCAACTTGCTCTCCCTCCAGCCTCTTGGACCATCTCACTCACTGCCTCATGCTGAACACAGAGTGAAAAGGCAAGGAGGGAAGTAAAGTTTATGCAGACTTCCTGCTATAGGAGCCTGCTCAGATTTCTGCTGGTTGGCTCAGAGTGGGATCCTGCAGTCAGAGATCCTGCAAACTGGCTTGGAGAAAACTGTCCTGTCTTTTATAGGGCTTAACACGTTTTATTTGCGACACATAGCAGATAATGTGATTTAACTCCATATGCCATGAAAAACATCACCAATTTCCACATATTAGACCTCAAATAAAAGGACAGGATGTTTCTCTCCAGGCCAGTTGTCAACTGAAACCGCAATAGGGAGCCAGCATGCCTTTCATTTCTCTTGTTGGCTTTAAGATTAGCAGTGTTGACTTGAAGCCTCCCTTTGTAACACTCTTGCTGAGTGAAGCCTCAGCACCATGATGACTATTTATAAAGGTTACTGAGGTGCAGGGGTCCTGTGTTTGAAGCTGGGTCAAAATATGCAGCGGAATGAGGTGTCACAGGGGCACAGTCATGTAACAAACTGACAGCAAGGTAATTAAATAAATAACAAGAGTTGTGTATTTAATATTAACACCTATATCGTTTGCCAAAAAGACAAATAAGTGGGTTCTAGATCAAACTCTCCCTAGAAGCTAAAACAACCAAACTGGGGCTGTCATACATTATGAGAAGACAAGAGTCACTAGAAAAGACAATAATGCTAGGAAAAATTGAATGCGGCAGGCAAAGAAGACGATGCAACATGAGATGGACTGACCCAGTCAAGGAAGTCACAGCCCTCAGTTTGCAAAACTTGAGCAAGACTGTTACCAACAGGACATTTGGGAGAATGTTAATTCATAGGGTCATCGTAAGTGACTGGATGGCACTTAACCCCCCCCCAATCTTTAATAATATTGTATGCATGAGGTTAGTGCGGCAGCATGCTGTAGTCATGTGGCTCTTTTGGTTGATGGGAAATGAGAACATGGCTACCCATAAGACACAGAGTGAGTGTCACTGCCATTCGTTCTTGCCCATGGGCTGGCAGTAGGTGTAATGAGATTTGTCACCAATTGCTGGCCATTATGCTACACTTCAAGAATATTGAAGAATGCTGTATATGCATAAAGTATTTTAGGACTGGCTGTATTGTTCAAGTGAGCAAAAGGCATCGTTTAAGAAGAAATTTATTTAGCTGTGATTTCTGGGAAAATTACATTTATTTTGAGAAAATCACTGTGCTTTCTCACAGTGCCATAACTAGAAGGAGGGATAAAACTGAGATGTCATCAAGTTAAAAAAAGAAAGAGAGAGAACACAGAAGATGTCTGAGTTAGGTTGCCAGTGCTACATAAGCACACAATAATAAATCTATACAAAGGGGACCCTACCTGGAGTACCCAGAAAATGCTCCGTGTATGCCTGTGATAGTAATGTCTTGTTGGAATATACTCTACTCCTGTCTCGTTAGCCTTCAGATACTTCTCCACGTGTTTATAGAACCATGGCTTATAATAGTTCCCAATGCTGTTGACCTTAACGCAAAGAACAGGAATACAGTGAGAGAACCATTCTGATTTTGCTTCATGATGTACAATGTAATATAGTTCCATAATGCTTCTGATTACCAATATCAGTGATGGACAGATTCCGTTAACCACAAATAGTACTGTGGCCATTAATTATTCCTCCGTGAATGCACCCCACCATATAAGCAGTGATAACCAAGGATGACAATACTCACTCTCCTCCTCCTCTCTCCCATCTTATCAAAGTGATCACATTTTTATGAATACATCAAATCTAAAAGATTACACTACAGATTTAAACTAGATCCTCTTCCAATTATGTTTAAATCATATAATGGTGGAAAGGTGTGCAAATGGGTGAAGACAGTGCCACAGGACTCTTAACAAATTTCTGAAAAACTATCTTGCCCACACAATCTGCATGTTTCAGCCACAGATTTAAGTTAGAAGAAGAAGAGATTGGATTTGTACCCCGCCCTTCACTTGGAGTCTCAGAGCGGCTTACAAACTCCTTTCCCTTCCCCTCCCCACAACAGATACCCTGTGAGGTGGGTGGGGCTGAGAGAACTCTGACACAAACTGCTCTTTTCCAAGGACAGCTGTGCCAGAGCTTGTGACTGACCCAAGGTCACATCAGCAGGTGCAAGTGGAGGAGTGGGGAATCAAACCCGGTTCTCCCAAATTAGAGTCCGCACACTTAATCACTACAACAAACTGCCTTCTTTGCTGGAAACATTTATGTCCCACCTTTCCCCACGACTCAAGGCAGTTTACAATACACAATTAAAACCATAAAACTCCAAATTCCACAGACCCTAATAAAATGCAAACTTACTATTAAAAGCCTTATAGCACCCCCTAAAAGTTTCCAAGGACAGCCTGTTCTACAGAGTAAAAGCTACCACAGAGAAAGGATAGGCCTCTGCTGATGCCCAACTATGAGACAAATTTAAAACTAGCTTCACAGTCATTCACCACTGCAAACATTTCTGGGAACTACAGTATTGTTCTTTATGAAGGCTAGGACTAGGGGTTATGTCTGGAAGTTTTGAAGCCATGGGAAAAACCCAGAAATGCTGGGAAAAAAATTAAATATATGCAGTGTATTTTCTATCAAATTGAAACTTATTTTGCTAATTTAACAACATAAAATGCAGCATTTAGAACTCATCATACAGAATTGTATTTTTATTTATGGGATTAGAAGTATAAATGCTTTCGTTTTCTACAAGCAAATTGCAAATATATAAAGCGAGAAAGCTGCATTCTACACTAATCACATTTTAAAAGGGGGAAAACATTTCACAGTCCTTTTTCAGTGCTCCCCAAAATTTCCACGACAAAAGTTTTTCAAAAAAAGCTCTCAGACATGTTGAGTAAAACTTTGCCTTAAAACAGGCATTTCACACATTTCAAAGGAAAAAAAAAACCTTTTCATAGGAGCCCCCCCCCCCAGTGCTTCCCCAAAATTCCCAATCTTTCCTTTTAGACAAAAAGACTCCCCATGCAGTTTTCCTCCCCCCCCCAAGGCCTCCACATCTCTAGCTGTCCACCTTGTTTCATCTTAACATAAGGATAATAACATTACCTTGCTCTGATCAGCTTCATCAGTCAGAATTCCTGACATTATGACAGCTTCTTCCAATGAGTACACCAACCCCTCCACAAAGTGGTTTTCTTTCTTTTCTGATTCTTCAGTAAATCTTTTGCATATTGCCTTCAGTCCTCTCACAGGTTCACAATGCAATTTTATGTATTTTTTTACTGGGACAATGTTTATTTCAGCTGCAACGAGGAAGCCCAGGGTACCACAAGACCAAGGCACTGCGTAAAATAGATCTGAGTTCTCCTCCTGCAAAATACAAAACAAATTGCAGCTTCAGTAAGTCCCGTTAATACAGCATAATTAGGGATGCAAATTATTACATGTTTAAACGATAATTTGTGAAATTTACATCCCTGGGCATAAAATCGTAAATTATAGCACAACAACAGAATGTCTTACTGGTGTACATCTCACGAGGCTTCCATCAGCAAGTACGATTTCATAGGCTTTGCAGGTGTGCTGAAACAGTCCATAGACATGTGAAGATGTCTCTATGCCAGTTCCCATGACCAAGCCACCTGAGCAAAAGATGATGTGCAGGAATCAGCTGAAGTGTACTTGGCTTTGAGCAGAAAGCTATTTAGAAACTTACTGTTAAACCCCTCTAACTAGAATAAGCAATGTAAGACCTAAAGCATCACAGAAGAGAGTCAACAGAATTTTGTTTTATTAGCTGCATATTTTACTCTGGTATAAAACTGTGGAACTGTATTAAGTTACTTTATGAGCAGCAGTCATGCTTTGTAAGTCCTCTCACCTACGGTAAGATCATCGAGCTCTGGTACCACAGGAATAGTCCAGCCCAAGGGGTTGAGATATGCTGTTAACTGACCCATTGTAACCAAGGGTTCCACACGGACAACCTAAGACAGAATACATTTGACAAGCCACAGTTTGAATACTGTCAGTCAATACAAATAAGCATTTGAGTTCTGCAACCATTCCATTATGTGCAATGCACACTGAAAACTACCCTAATTTTTTTTAAACAAGAAAAAGCCAAATATAAATATTGAGTAGATTAGTATTCTTGAAAAAATTGGTTATAATTGAGGAAAATAGACAACACAAAACTATCAAATGCCCAGCTAAATGAATGTATTTCATATGGAGCAGCACAAGTTTTGACAGCAGATACACCAAGTAAAGCTGCTGATCATGCTTTGAAACAGAGGCAGACATGTTCCTCTATGTCTTGTCTATCATATATACATTAATCTGAAGGTATAGTGGTACACATTATGATTCTGTTCTGAACCTTGGACTAATGCTCTGCCTTCCTCCACAAAAAACTCTTTCTGAAAAACACTGTAATTTAAGGAATTCCTATCACACCCACTGTATAGCCATTTTTTGTTATAATTCCTCCATACTCTTGGCTGATACAGTTATGTGGCACTTCCCTGCCACATCCCCATTTCTGCAAACAGGGAAGGTAACTTTTGCTTCCTTTACATCCATCTTCTTTTAATTAGCTTTTATTTATTTAATTTGATTTTTAGACCACCTTCCCCATGAATAGGCTCAGGGCGGTGAACAACATTTTAAATTACATACCAATTAATTAAAAACAATTAAACAGTTAAAATCAGATTACAATAGTTTAGATCAAAATTTCCAGAGGTGGCTAACATACATTAATTTGTATATCCTTATCCCATAGGGGAAGGAAAAGAAAGGAGGAGGAGCCAGCCAGATGAAAAACCATTGCTGTCCTCAACCACAGGAACATCTGTCTTGCACGCCCTGACAAACTGAACTAAGTTTCACAAGGTGCAGGCCTCACTTGGCAGAGTTCTATGAGGCTGGTGCCAGGCTTCAGGACAGCCAGATAGTTTTTGGGCCAGGGATCACCAATAAGTTCTGATCCGCAGAACACAATGTTCTTTGGGGGACATACCAGGAGACATGGCCCTACAAGTACGCTGGTCTCAGACCGTTTAGGTCCTTGAAGGTTAATAGCTTCTACTTGACTTGAGGCAATTATTGTCAGTATGTACTGGCATGTCTATGTGTATGCCTGCAGGTCCACTGACATTGGCTCCTTGCACCCCTAAGACATATCTGTACTCAATCCCAGTGTACACTCATGTTGCAGTCTTTGAAAGAGTCACTACCTCCTCCTATACAAGGGTGCTCAAATTTTGATCTATATCAGAGCTTTGGGGCCTTTTTTTCTTGCACTTCCTGCTGATATCTGCCTGATACCTATTATTTTGGAATTTTAGATGCAAAGACATTTTATTCTCCTAGGCATTTGGCAATTTGCATGTGTATTTTGCTGGGGGCTGTTTTGGAATCTTATTTCCTTTAATCAAGAATGGAATAAAAAGCTGTTAGATTTTTAGGATCATAGTATTTTTGTTTCTACTGCTGTATTTTAATTGTTGTTCATAATTTTACAGATTGTTTAAAGAGCTCTGAATGATGAGTCAGTGTAGAAATATTTTAAACATTTAGTAAGCACTGGCTGCAAGACTTGTGGCTTCAACTGACTGAAGTATGATGCCCTAGGAACTGGTTCTGCTGCTGAGGTGTTATGCAATGTTTAAGAACAGGCCACAGTTTAAAATTAACAAATGGTACATAAACAGTAAATAAGGCTTGCCTGGACCTCGAAAGCCCAAGCTACCCCAATCTTGTCAGATCTCAGAAGCTCAGCAGGGTTGGCCCTGGCTAGTATTTGGATGGGAATACCAGGGTCATGATACATGGAGGCAGGCAACAGCAAACCACCTCTGAACATCTCTTGCCCTGAAAACCCTACGGGGTTGCCATAAGTCAGCTGTGACTTGATGGCAAAAAACACCACCACCATGCAAGACTTAGAACACATGGCATGGGTGGCCAGAAGGCGTACAGAAGAGGGAGGAAGGAGTGCTATCACTACAGTAGTCCATACAAAAAGGACCATCTGTAAATATGTATGGCCTGAAATAGTGCTTCTAACTTGTGCATTTTTAGAGCTTTTTTTAAAATGGGAGAGTAGTTAGCTACTCAGAAGGAAATGTGCATTGCTCAATGTGTAGACACTGTCAGTTACTTCAAGTTCTGATATTTTAAAAATTATATAATCTTTGTGGAGGCAAGTACCCTATTCCAGTGTGGTCATGGTTTTCTTTTATATTCTGCAATTTTAATTGTTAGGTGTCTAGAATTAAATTCCTGTCTTTAATCTCTTCCTCCTTTCCCTGTGCTCCACCCCTGCAGCTGAATCACAGTTACAGAGAAGGGGAGGCTGAATGCCAAAGTGGTCTGAATGCCAAAGTGAAAATAAAATACGGAGGCAAAGCCTGGTTCTAATTATATTGGGGAAAAGAGGAAGAGGAGAGAAGAAAGGCTGCACAACTATACTCTGAACAGACATTGATAATAGTTAGAGCACAAGGATAAATTTTCCTTGATAACATAAACAGATAGAAACTGAGGGGAACTTTTTAAATAAAAGATAGAAACATTTTACGCAAGTGTTGACATGGTTTTCCTGTCCCTCACTTCCCTGGCACTTTTTTTGGAATGGAGATGGAGAAGAATGAGAATTGCTCAAACTTTGTTACCGATTTTTATTTTTTAATGTGGGATTCTGTTATACCTAAATAGCTGTGCAAACCTTGTTTAGTTGGGTTTAAACCTGCTTTAAGAAACAGAGATTACAGGATCATTGCAAAGTATTTTCTAATTGTTCATGAGTTGTTAGGTGGGCTAGTATGCTAACGGGTAAAGACTTTAAAATTTTTTGACTGATGTTCCTTCAGTGATCCTTGTTTCCTGCCTTATGTTTTATCAGTTTTATATTTTGTTATGCTATTTTAATTGTTAGCTAGCTGCCTTGGTGACCCTCAGTAGAAGGACAGTGTGTGTGTGCGCGTGCATGCGTGCAGTAAAAAAACACTGTCGGCTAGACATTTTTGCAGACTTAGGCTAATTCCACACGTCATTTCTCCACAAATGGAGAGCAGGAAGTCCCTGCATTTAAAGGGAATGTTCATATGAAGTCATGCTCATTTTGAGCACTAGTCAGCGCTTTCCTCCAGATAAGAGAGATAAAAAATGACTCCCTTTGACCTGGTTCAAAGGGATAACCAAAGGGAAAGTACTTTAAAGGGTACTTTGCCAGTCCAGCCCACTATTACCCTTCCAGTACAGCTGGACAGGGAAAAGGATAGTGAAGGGAAAGAAGGGGTTTCTGTGCTGTGGCTTCTATAATCGCAAAGCAGCAAGCAAAGCAAGAATGGGTGTGTGCAAACAGGGAGTTTCATGGCCTTGTGTATATACAACCTTACTTGCTAGGCTAAATTAATGAGAAGTTGTTTAAAATGACAATATTTAACAGTAGTAACAGCGATGCAGTTAGATCAGCACAGTACCAAATAGTCATTGGTATAGTGGGTGAAAAGAGAATGCTGAAACAACGAATGAATGATCGTTCTAAAAGTTAATTTAAAGTGGTATGTTATATAATTCAGGTGCCAGATCTCATGGGATAAATACCGAACTCAATGATGAAAGAAATCACTTTCACAGCAAATTGATTTTTAAGTAATGTTCCAAGAAGTCGCAAGATTAATTACAAACTGTGCCAATGAAATAGAGGAAGGAAAGGAGATTTTTACAAATAATTGATACTTCATTTTTTCTGCAAAGCATATGGAGGTTCAGATGTGTGAACAGTACCAGGAATATCTGTATTGTTTGAGTATGTATGGTATGTTTAGAATGTCAGGCTAGAACTTGGTAGAACAGGTTCAAATAAACACTCTACCATGGAAGCATGTTGGGTGACCTTGGGCTAGTGACACACTCTCAGCCTGACCTCCCTCACAGGGCTGCTGTGAGGATATACTCAAGATAACAGAACTATGTAAGCCACTCTGGGTCCCCAGTGGAGGGAACGTCAGGGTATAAATGAAGTAAATAAATCACCAAGCTATACATAAGCTTCCAAATCAATATTTCTTATTAAAAAAGCAGATAGTTAAACATTGTGGAGAACATGCTTTTGGGCAAAGCCATGTTTGATGCTGCCTTAGTTATTTCAGCAAACTGTTAATACAGAAAGGCACTATGAAATTTGTACTTTTTGGCCAAGTTTTGGCTTCAACTCTTTATGATTTATTTATTTCATTAGACTCTTATACTGCCCTCCCCACAAGCAGGCTCAGGGCTCCCCACAAGCAGGCACAACCAATTCATATAAATACATATAAAATACATTTCAACAATCTAAAATATATAATATCATAAAACCCAACATCATGTGGTGCTGTGATACGATTTAGGTCCCCCAGTTTGCTTCAGCAATGGAGGGGAAGGGGAGAGCAGTTAGTGAACTGGCTAGTTCTTAAGACTGATGAAACCTGTTAAAAACCATTATAAACATCTATGCCTTGCAGGCCTTGTGGAATTGTAAGAGATCCTACAGGGCCCTGATGTTAATCAGCAAAAAGTTCCAAGTCAGAGACACTCCCAGTGTTAGGTTGCCATGTTTCCATTTTAAAGTTGAAAGGACATACTACAAAATAATCTAAGATAAAGGACATACTACAAAATAATCTAAGATATGTGTAATATAAAAAATGATTTTTAGATCAGACCGTTATTAAGTGTGGCATAACAATAATAATTATATTAGGATTTACATAAAACTTGCATAATGTCCAACAAACAGTGGGTTGCAAGTCACCATTAAGTATTATTTCCCTTGAGATCTAAAAACTAAAAAAGCCTGTGTTTAAAAAGAGCTGAACTGTGATTTATGGATCACGATATATCAAAAGGAATGTGAACAATTAACTATTGCTGCTTTAGAGGTCACGTGTCTAAGTTTAGAGTCTTTTAGTTATGATTGGCATATAGCCATCGGCTCAGGTATATTAGAGAATCATGGAAATCACACTGTATAGAAGACTGTGAGAACTGGCAGCTTTAATGCTATGTTCCAAAGACCTTAATCCCTTAAAACCAAAGTCCAATTTAAATGTAAAGATGTTACAGGCTTACCTGTCTTTCAGTATCGACCTCCAGAATATCCATCAAATTGATGAATATGTTCTTATGAGTCTTCTTGTACTTTCCAACACGAAGAGATACTGTATGCCAGCCAGGACGGCCAGTACACATGTATGTTTTTTGGCCTTCTTTTTTCCATTCTCGCACCTACAAGAGAAAAAAAGCTCAAGTTATTCCCATCACACACCAAAAAGGAATATCTACCTACAGACTCTTTCCCTGACTTAAAATTGTTGACAAATAAAACTGACACATTTTAAACACAACACAGCAAACCCCACAAGTGCTTCCTTATTCAAGGGCAGCTCTATAAGTTACCTTGACTATCCTTAAATAAAAAGTACTGGACGTCAGTTCTCTCTCACGTATACCAATGGTTCTTGTTATAATTTCCCAGTTTTGTACGATACCTAGAAATTACTTACTTTTAACAGATAAGTAACCTAGGTCCTGGTCACACGAGCTGGAAAATGCGGCGGGGGGGGGGAGAGTGTGGCCATTTGCCCCGGAGCAAAATAATGCGTGGCCGCCCGATTACACGTCCCGTCAAGGTCCCATGGTTAGGGGGTAAGGTGC